AAAGTGGACTTCATGGCAAATAGCATCAACAGCCTGAGAATGTAGCAAGACTTTTCTTGAACTGCAGTAATGAAATCTTTCCCTGTTTTTTAAAAATTCCCATACACAAAAAGCTACACATCTTAGTTTTCCATGAGCAGGGATGTATATTAATATAGAAGCATTCAAGTGGGCAAGCTTGCGCTGTTACATAATGCACCACAAGCTGGCGGATGTACTCAGGCAATCAAACCAAAGACTTTGAAATGCGATGAGACACATTCATGGGGTGATGATATCAACAACTCCCAGCTAAATGAAACCTCCATGTCCAGAGGCAATCTACCTCTCAATAGCAGTTGCTAAGGATCAAGCAAAGGGGAGCTGAATGATCTCAGTAACTCCCAGCTGTGGCAGCTGAATGAAGCCTCCATGTCCAGAGGCAATCTACCTCTCAATGGAAGTTGCAAAGGAATGAACAATGGAAACCTATTAAGTGACCTTGGGCAAGGCTTCACGCTTTTTCAGGCTAAAAAGGAAAGACAAAGGCCCAAATTGGACACAAAACCCTGAATGAGTCATGGAAAGAAAACCCCATGATAGCATTGCAACAAGGTGCAATGATACAAGAAGAGTAAGGAACCAAAGAGGTTTGACTTGGTAACCAATACAGTTTTATGTATTGTCGAAGGCTTTCATGGCCGGAATCACTGGGTTGTTGTAGGTTTTTTCGGACTATATGGCCATGTTCTAGAGGCATTTTTTCCTGACATTTTGCCTGCATCTATGGCAAGCATCCTCAGAGGTAGTGAGGTCTGTTGGAACTAGGAAAAAGGGTTTATATATCTGTGGAATGACCAGGGTGGGACAAAGAGACTCTTGTCTGCTGGAGCTAGGTGTGAATGTTTCAACTGACCACCTTGATTAGCATTTGATTGCCTGGCAGTGCCTGGAGCAATCTTTTGTTGAGAGGTGATTAGATGTCCTTGTTTGTTTCCTCTCTGTTGTTGTGCTATTCTAATTTTAGAGTTTTTTAATACTGGTAGCCAGATTTTGCGAAGCATCAGGAGAAAATGCCTCTAGAACATGGCCATATAGCCCAAAAAACCCTACAACAACCCAATATAGTTTTGATTGAATCATAGCCTGCACAGAATCATACTCTGCATTGTAAAGCGTTTTTAAAAAGTGGTAAAGAAGAAAGTTAAAAACACACACAAACACTAAATGTGTCCTTTGTTTAATCTCTGCTATGTGTATTTCAATATGTATTTTACAGGAATATATTTTAATAGGTCTCTTTTATAGAAATACATTTTAATATGTGTATTTGTGGTATTTATTACAATGTTTATGTATTTTAATTATTCTATAACCTGTCTGAAGTGGGTAAGAAATAATAATAATAATAATAATAATAATAATAATTATTATTATTATTATTATTATTATTATTATTATTATTTGAAAGATGAGTTCACAACAGACACTCTGCTGGCTGTTTTATTGGATCACATGTCGGACACTTCCCATGTGTCTAGGACTGTGTGATGTATCGGCGAATAATGCGTGTAGATCCCAGTAAGGTGGCCTTTTGCAGCTGGCAAATGGTAATTTTGTCAGCGCCGATTGTGTTTAAGTGCAGGCCAAGGTCTTTAGGCACTGCACCCAGTGTGCCGATCACCACTGGGACCACCTTTACTGGTTTGTGCCAGAGTCTTTGCAGTTCGATTTTTAAATCCTCATATCGATTTATTATTATTATTATTATTATTATTATTATTATTATTATTATTATTGGTTTCTAACTGATAATTTTTAATACTGTTTATATTTAATCCTGTATTAATGTTTGTATATTTGTATATTTTTGCTAATGCTTTTATTTTGAGAGAGAGATAAAGCAGAAATAAATAAATATAATATATATATTTTTTGTGTCAGCAGCGACTTGAGAAACTGCAAGGTGTGGGAGAATTGGTTGTCTGCAAGGATATTGCCTAGGGGACGCCCAAATGTTTTACTATCCTGTGGGAGGCTTCTCTCATGTCCCCTCATGGGAAGCTGGAGCTGACAGATGGGAGCTCACCCTGCTCCCTGGATTTGAACTGCTGATCTTTTGGTCAGCAGACATTACCAAGGGAATGCCCGGATGTGTTATCATCCTGTGGGAGGCTTCTCTCATGTCCCCGCATGGGAAGCTGGAGTTGACATACAGGAGCTCACCCTGCTCCCCAAATTTGAACCGCCGACCTTTTGGTCAGCAGTCCTGCCAGCACAAGGGTTTAACCCATTGTGCCACCGGGGGCTCCTAATATAACCATGATAATAATAATAATAATAATATCAACAACAACAACAACAACAACAATAGCAGCATACTAATGCCACCAGCTGTATTTCTTCAGCTTGACATCCCCAGTGGAGAAAAAAAATATGGCAGAAGGATGGATTTGAGCTACTTGCTCATAGTAGGATGCTACTTTGCGTGATTGAAACCCATGGGTTTTACTATGGCTTATTATAAAAATCCTGGGATTTGTGGTTTGGTGAGGCCTTAGCATTTTTTGGCATTGTCGAACGACAACACCCACAGTTTCATACCATGAATCCATGGCAAGAGGTATCAAATTGCATTCATTCTACTGTGTACATCAGGCCTGGGCAAACTTGGGCCCTCCAGGTGTTTTGGACTTCAACTCCCACCATTCCTAACAGCCTACCGGCTGTTAGGAATGGTGGGAGTTGAAGTCCAAAACACCCGGAGGACCCAAGTTTGCCCAGGCCTGGTGTAGATGCACCCCAGGGCATATGTCGTCATGGCCAGGTTTGACATGCCAACGGAATGACACAGCTGATGCCCAAACCACGATACCTATCAATCCCTTTACATGCTTATCCCTACCTGAGAGACACACCACCACTTTGCGGATGCCATTGGATTTCATGGCGGTCACAATGTTCCGGGTTCCTTCAGACATCATCGTGGTGGGACCTGTCAGGAGGGAGATGGAAGAAGCAAAGTCAGGAGAACGGTTGGTTGGGATGGAGGGCTGGCAAGCAAAGAGGAAAGGGTGCAGCATCTCATACTGAGGTCGTTCCGGGTGCCGAGGATCACAATCACACCGTCCTGGCCCTTCACGGTTCGGTTGACATCCGACAGGTTCAGCACATCGCCGACCACCACTTGTGCCGGCTGGAGCTCCGGGGGCAGTCGAATGGGGTCCCGCACCAGCACTGTCACCTGGTAACCTGAAACGAAAGAGAAGAGTATGCTAATGCTTCTATGTTAAGCTGATTTGAGTCTCCTTTGACAGGGATAAAGAGGGGTATTAATAATAATAATAATAATAATAATAATAATAATAATAATAATAATAATAATAATAAACAGAGCTGTGAGGTGGGTTGCGTCCAAGAGGCAGGTTATTTATTCTTGTGTGTTTTCAAGCCATTTCTGGGAAGGATAAGCCATAACAGAAGAGCAATGATGAAACAAGCAAGCAAATTCTTAGGCTCTATGATGCTAAAAACTACAGACCTACAGTCTATTTATTGCTACACAATTATAACTACCTGTTTCCTCGATTCTAAGACATGCTTTCCTCCCATATAAACATTTCTGTGTATTAAAATCAAGGTTAAAACAGAATTAAAACAGAATTAACTGTCTGACTCTGGGGGCTGCTGCTTATCTCCATTTCTAAGCTGAAGAGCCAGCGTTGTCCGTAGACACCTCCAAGGTCATGTGGCCGGCATGATACATGAAGCGCCGTTACCTTCCCGCTGGAGCAGTACCTATTGATCTACTCACATTTGCATGTTTTCGAACTGCTAGGTTGGCAGAAGCAGGGGCTAGCAGTGGGAGCTCACCCTGCTCCCTGGATTCGAACCGCCAATCTTTCAGTCAGCAAGTTCAGCAGCTCAGCAGTTTAACCCACTGTGCCACCGGGGGCTCCAAAGCCCATAATGACCTGCCTACTAGTGTTGAGACCCATGAGTACATGGAGCGCCGTTACCTTCCCGCCGGAGTAGTAACCACTGATCTACTCACATCTGCATGTTTTTGAACTGCTAGGTTGGCTGAAGCTGGGGCTAGCAGCAGGAGCTCACCCTGCTCCCCAGATTCGAACTGCCAACCTTTCAGTCAGCAAGTTCAGCAGCTCAGCAGTTTAACCCACTGCTCCACCGGGGGCTCCAAAGCCCATAATGACCTGCCTACTAGTGTTGAGAGCCATGACTACATGGAGCGCCGTTACCTTCCCGCCAGAGCAGTACCCATTGATCTACTCATATTTGCATGTTTTTGAACTGCTAGGTTGGCTGAAGCTGGGGCTAGCAGTGGGAGCTCACTTTGCTCCCCGGATTTGAACCGCCAACCTTTCAGTCAGCAAGTTCAGCAGCTCAACGATTTAACCCACTGTGCCACCGGGGGCTCCAAAACCCATAATGACCTGCCTGCTACTGTTGAGACCCACCACCTTACACATTATTATTGGATGCCTCCCAGAAGACCTGCCTTGCATTCAAGTTCTGGGAACTGTAGGATGGAAAACAGCTACACTTCGGGTAGGAGGGACATAAAAACCAAATAATGGAATGGACATTGTCCAGGGAGTCCCTTTGACCAAGAGAAATGCTGGAGCTCAGCCAAGTCCGAAGGTCAGACTGGGTGGAGAAAGCCTTTCATTTGTTCTCCAGTGGGAGTTTAAATCTCAGGTTTAAGATTAACCCAAAAGTGAAAGAGATTGTTTCCCCGCCAGCCCAAGGTTCCTAATTTTATTCTCACTATCACTTCCTCATCCATTGTTCCCCGAATTTTAAAAATAAATGCTTAGAAGGGAATGAGTTGCAGAACTCTCATCCAATCATTTTGTAGCAGTTTTGTTTAGCAGGAACCCTGGCGAAAGTGAAGATATTGTGAATATCTCAAAACTTAGTCCTTAATATCCCATTTACCACACACACAAAAAGTACAATACATACATTTTATGCATTCATGACTTGCTAAACCAGGCATTTAAACGATAACATGATCACTGTACTGTTAAAGGCTTTCATGGCTGAAATCACTGGGTTGCTGTGAGTTGTTTGGGCTGTACGGCCATATCCCAGGAGCATTCTCTCCTGACATTTTGCCTGCATTTTCTGCTGCCCTGGAGACTAGGATGTGGAACAATGGCTTCAAACTTCAAACAGGAGATTCCATCTGAACATTAGGAAGAACTTTCTGACTGTGAGAGCTGTTCAGCAGTGGAACTCGCTGCTATGGAGTGTGGTGGAGTCTACTTCTTTGGCAGCTTTTAAACAGAGGTTGGATGGCCATCTGTTGGGGGTGCTTTGAATGTGATTTTCCTACTTCTTGGCAGAATGGAGTTGGACTAGATGGCCCACATAGTCTCTTCCAATTCTATGATTCTTGGTAAATTGTTTGGATTTCTTAACTAGTTATTTAGCTGTATTAGATGGAATCCAGATCCCTTCCACACAGCCCTATATCCCAGAATAACAAGGCAAAAAATCCCACAAAATCTGCTTTGAACTGGGTTATCTGAGTCCACACTGTCATTTTTGCCCTCTTATTATGGGATATAGAGCTGTGTGGAAGGGCCCGCAGTGTTATAGTTTTGGAAGATTTAAATTTCTAAAATGCTTGTGTGTTTTGTTTTTTCTCTTCCTTGAATTAAAGTTATTATTTATATTGTTAATGGCAAACTCATAAATAGTCAAATCCCCAAAAATTAAGCTCACAAAAGTGGAAGTTCGACTATCCTTTTGGTAGCAGTGGCACAACCCATTTTGAACAAACCCTTTCCCCATCTCTTTTGTTTTTTATAGGGTTCCTCCCTTAATCTTTCGACCTCCGGTTGCCCTGCAGCCTTCCTAATGCAGATGCAGGGACTGTGGGGCTACTGCAGGGCAAAAGAATTAGGCAAGGAACATTAAGAAATTAGGCACTCCTTGGGCTGATTCAATGCTTCTCCAATGCCAGAAATACAGCTTAATGAGTAACGTAAGAAAATGTTGACCATTTCCGCTACCTTGGCAGCCACCTCTCCACAAAAGTCAACACCAACCGCCTGGGCTCTGTGAGTGCAGCATTTTTCCAAATGAAGCAGAGAGTGTTTGAGGACCAGGACATCCGTAGGGATACCAAGGTGTTTGTTTATAAAACGATTGTCCTCCCAACCCTGCTATACGACTGCGAGATGTGGACTATCTACAGACGTCACACTCAATTCCTAGAACAACTCCATCAGCTTTGCCTCCGAAAAATCCTACAAATCTCTTGGGAAGAGAAGTGGGCAAATGTCAGAGTGCTGGAAGAAGCAAAGACCACCAGCACTGAAGCGATGGCTCTCCACCATCAACTCCGCTGGACTGGCCATGTTGCCCAGATGCCCAACCACCGTCTCCCAAAGCAGTTGCTCTACTCCGAACTCAAGAATGGGAAACGTAATATTGGTGGACAGGAAAAGAGATTTAAAGATGGGCTCAAAGCCAACCTTAAAAACCGTGGCATAGACACTGAGAACTGGGAAGCCTTGAGCGCTCCAGATGGAGGTCAGCTGTGACCAGCAATGCTGTAGAATTTGAAGAGGCATGAATGGAGGGCAAAAGAGAGAAACGTGCCAAGAGGAAGGCGCTCAAACCAACCCTGACCAGGACCACCTCCCACCTGGAAACCAGTGCTCTCATTGCGGGAGAACATGCAGGTCAAGAATAGGGCTCCACGGTCACCAACAAAAAATACTGTGTTTTCTGGCGACCCCTCTGACACCCCCCTCAGTGGGCCCGACGCCCAGGTTGAGAAACATAGGATTAATGTCTATGTTCCTGTTTCATGCTTATGGATTTTATGCATTATACTCTTGACTTCATGGATTTCATGTGCCTTGCATTCAAGGATTACTTGTACTTTGCTACCTTGGACTATTGATCCTTGTATTTTGGACTACTGCTATTTCCCAGCAGCTTTTCTACTGATTTTTTTGGAGGGGGGAGATTGAGGGTTTGTAAATAAACTATAGTTAGCTACTTCTGGACTTTGTGTGGTAGTGGGTGAAAAGGTGTTCCACAGCTAGACTGCAACACATCTCAGCATTTGTGTCCTGCTTTTCTTCTTCGCCATACACTCCAGAAAACATCTCTTTTGGCAATCAGATAGATCTGTGCCAGTCTTCCCTGGCATTTCCCCTCTCTATGTGTGCTGAAATTTTGCAGCACCACAGCCACTGTCTCCAAGCAGCCCCTTTCGATGCTGTGTGGGATCCCTGGCTGGTTAGCCTGAAATCAGGCTTAAACCTCCTCTCCTTGGGCAGCTTCCATGACTAATTGTTGCAAAGGACAAATCTGAATTGTCTTTCATAAGTTTGGAAAGAAGCCCAGACCCAAGTCCTATGATCTGCTGCTGCTGCTACTACCAGAAAAGGCGTTTAAATAAAGGCGCCAGGCCTTGTTCTCCCAAAAGATTGGCCGTAGAATAGGGCAAATGTCGTTCAATCGTAGCAAAGGAAGAGAAGGGCTGGAGACTAGGTGGGAGAGCAAGAAGGAGTATTTTCTCAGACCGAAGACACCGCTCACCAAATGTTGGTGCCCCAAGGAGACAAGTTGGCATTTACTGGCTGCCATGGATGCAAACAATGGCACAACCGCAGCAAAAAACATGCCACACCCGGGAGGCTTTTGCTGAATAATGTTGTTGTGCCAAAGGTTTTCCCTTAAGAAAGGAACCTTGGCTTTTAGTTGGACGGAGAGCCAAATGTGGCCATGAATTGCATGCATTTGGGATTGTTTTTAGTGCCGCTTCATGCCTTTAGAGCAGGCATTGGCAAACTGGAGACAAGGCTGGGTCTAGTCTGCTATATAATGTAGTTTGAACAGCATTATATAGTCTGTGTAGACCAGGCATGGGCAAACTTGGGCCCTCCAGGTGTTTTGGACTCCAACTCCCACCATTCCTAACAGCCTCAGGTCCTTTCCTGAGGAAGGGTTCTGAGGCTGTTAGGAATGGTGGGAGTTAGAGTCCAAAACACCCAAAGGGCCCAAGTTTGCCATAACTGATGTATACAAATTTGGACTTAGGTTGTTGTTGTTATTGCTATTACTACTTTCTTTACTGAAGCAATCCCTTTTTGTCCATATAGGATTGTTTTCCAAGATTGGTGTACTGGCGGTGGAGCCCTATTCTTGACCTGCATGTTCTCCTGCAGTGAGGGCATTGGTTTCCAGGTGGAAGGCAGTCCCGGTCA